CCGACTCCCAAATGCTGCTGCCAGGCCCGTAATCTGTGATGGGCCCCTGTTACCGCATCCTCCCATGCTGCTGCCAGGTCCAGATTGTGTCATGGGTCCCTGTTACGGCCGTCCCATTGCTGCTGCCAGGCCTGTAATCTGCCATGGCCCGGGGCCCCCTACCGACTCCTCATGCTGCTGCCAGGCCCGTAATCTGCCATGGGCCCCTGTACCCGCCTCCTCATGCTGCTGCCAGGTCCAGAGTGTGTCCATGGGTCCCTGTACGGCCTCCCATTGCTGCTGTCTCTATCGCCACACTCTGCCATGTGCCACTTTCAGGTCTCCTCACACTGCTGGTGGTTTCCATTTTTGTCATAGGGTGCTGCATGGCCTCCCATTGCTGCTGCCCTCCAACCGCCACACTGTGGCTCCACACTCTGGTTTTGGCCCCGTGACTGGCCAAATGAGTGAAGTGTGCGGGGTGATTCTAAGATCGACGGCATTCATCTGCATGTCATACTGCCTGACAGTATTATTTCTCTTCCCCAGCAGACTCCAAGGGCATTTAAATTAAAGGTACAGTGTTCAGCACTAATATTAAGTCTCTCTGATAGCCTAGAAAACACCCTTTTTTAAGTTAAATTCACAGCGAATATATTCGACTCTTACTTTCGAATCAAATTTTTTCTACGAATTCGCCGAATCAGTCGAATCGAATTTTTTGAATACTTCGCTCATCTCTATTTATGACTAAATTTGATTTTTGCATTGTTTTTTTTTTTACTGGACATGTTTTGTAGCAAAAAGTCCAAAATATTGTTTTTTTTTCCTCAAAATTGTCAGACTTTTTTTTTATAGCGCAAAAATAAAAACCGCATAGGCGATCAAATACCATCGAAAGAAAGCTCAATTTGTGGGGAAAAAAAGGATGTAAATTTAATTTATGTACCATATTGCATGACCGCGCAATTGTCCGTTAAACTAGCACAGCGCTGTATAGCAAAAAATGGCGTAAATTTCAGTATTTATACCATAGTTTGTAGACGCTATAACTTCCACACAAAGCAATCAATATACACTTATTGGCAGAATACATTTTGGCCTAAATATAACCAACTTTGAGTTTACTATATATTTTTTTAGAGCTGAAAATAAAAAATATTGTTTTTCTTCAAAATTTTTGGCATTTTTTGTTTATATAGCGTGAAAAATAAAAAGCGCACAGGTGATCAAATTACACCGAAAGAAAGCTCTATTTGTGTGAAAAAAAGGACGTAAATTTCGTTTGGGTGCAGCATTGCATGACCGCGCAATTATCAGTTGAATTAGTGCAGCGCCGAGTAGCAAAAAGAGGCCTGGTCATTAAGGGGGGTAAATCCTCTGGAGCTCAAGTGGTTAATAAAATATTTGTGCCCAAATATCAGCTTGAATTTTAGTAACTCAGCAGCATATTTCACAAACAAATTGTTCTTTCTGGCAGTATAAGATTTTAGGGGCTTTTTCCAAACATTGTCATATACTAAAGACCATTTGCATCTGTTAATTTAAGAGTTATCAGGCTATCGCTCTAAGGATGCACATGAATGAGGCCACAAACAGCTTGTCAGTAAATTAAACTGAATGTATGAAGGCAACCCAAAGCAATATGGTGCAAATCAATAAAGAAATAAATTCATAGAAAAAAAAGAGCAGTATAATAGACAAATGGGCAACAGATTGCTTACTTGTACTTAAAGAAACTACAGCACTGTTAACTTGAATCTTAAATGGGCTACTAGAGTCTCTAAATAACATAAACCAGTTCAGAAGAGTATACAAAATGGTCCTGCTGTACACCTTGTGCATAAAACCCCAGCAGTGGGTGGGTGTATATGTTTCCTAGAGTGGGGGTACCCCTGAAGGTGGTGAAAGTACCCGTTCCCTAGTAATTATTATTGGCCTCCTTTCAGTGGGACCCTTCCTTAGGTGGTGCACTGATCCTTTAAGAGTACTATAGTTCAACAAAGGCTAAGCCTCTAAGTAGGAGCAATCTCTAGTTTGGCTATAGTGGGAAGTTAGGGCAAGTGGTTCTGCTCACCATTTCCTGGCAGGTGGCTAATCTGGTTTTAGTGACTCCTAGTTCCCAGCAATCAGGTACCAGATCCTAAGGCTGGCCATACATTATACAATTTTCTTTAGAAAATTGCTTTAGATTTACTAAAAACCATATAATATAAGGTCAAACCTAAACAACACTTTCAATTATATCCAATTAAACAAGCCCTTGCACTACATAGTTGAAGGTAAATCTAAAGGAAATTGGGCAGAAATTGAACAGAAAATTGTATAGTGTATGGCCAGCCTTACACAGGCTGCAGTCTCTCAGCTCAGATCCTGAACTCGTTATGTGTATAAAAGACACCTGTCCACAGAATCTCTTTCTTCCATTTACCATCATTGCCAAGACCAAACAGCTGTTGAAGGGCATCAAGAACAAGATTGTAGACCTGCACAAAGCTGGAATGGGCTACAAGACCATCAGCAAAAAGCTTGGTGAGAAGGAGACAACTGTTGGAGCAATTATTCACAAATGGAAGAATTACAAAATAACCATCAATTGCCCTCAGTCTGGAGCTCCATGAAGGATTTTGCCTCATGGCATAAGGATGATCATGAGAAGAGTGAGGAATTAGCCCAGAACTACACAGGAGGAGCTTGTGAATGATCTCAAGGCAGTTGGGACCACAGTTACCAAACAAACTGTTGGTAACACAATGGATTGAAATCCTGCAGTGCCCGCAAGGTCCCTCTTGTCAAGAAGGCACGTGTACAGGCCCATCTGAAGATTGCCAGTGAATATCTAAATGATTCAGAGGAGGATTGGGAGAAAGTGCTGTGGTCAGATGAGACCAAAATTGAGGTCTTTGGCATTAACTTCACTCACCGTGTTTGGAGGAAGAAAAATGCTGACTATAGATGATACCCTTCTTTCCTCAGCCAAAACATTGAAGATGGTCGAGGATGGGTCTTCTAGCATGACAATGACCCAAAACATACCACCAAGGCAACAAACGAGTGGCTCAGGAAGAAGCACATTAAGGTCATGGAGTGGTCCAGCTAGTCTACAGACCTTAATCCTATGGAACATTTATGGAGGAAGCTCAAACTTCGAGTTGCCATGCGACAGCCAAGAAACCCTAAGAATTTAGAGAAGATCTGTAAAGAAGAGTGGACCAATATCCCTCCTGAAATGTGTGCAAACCTGGTAACCAAGTACAAGAAACATTTTACCTGTATCACGTGTCTTACATGTATCACATGTCTTCCATTTACAGTGCCTTAGAAAAGCATTCATTCCCCTTGAAATTTTCCACATTGTATCTTATTACAACCAAAATCATAAATGTATTTTATTCAGATTTTATGTGATAGACCAACACAAAGTGGCACATAACTGTGAAGTGGAAGGAGAATGATAAATGGTTTTTAGAATTTTTTTACAAATAAATATCTGAAAAGTGGGGCATGCACTTGTATTCAGCACCCCTGAGTCAATACTTTGTAGAACCACTTTTTGTTGCAATTACAGCTGCAAGTCTTTTTTGGGTATGTCTCTACCAGCTTTACACATCTAGAGAGTGACATTTTTGCCCATTCTTCTTTGAAAAATAGCTCAAAACTCTGTCAGATTGGATGGATAGCATCTGTGAACAGCAATTTTCAAGTCTTGCCACAGATTTTCAATTGGATTTAGGTCAAGATTTTGACTGGGCCATTCTAACACATGAATATGCCTTGATCTAAACCATTCCAGTGTAGCTCTTGCTGTATGTTTAGGGTTGTTGTCCTGCTGGAAGATGAACCTCCGCCCCAGACTCAAGTCTTTTGCAGACTCTAACAGGTTTTCTTCTAAGATTGCCCTGTATTTGGTTCCAGACATGGGTAATTTACATTAATACAATTTATATACATTGATGTTGGTTATAACGAGGTTACTCTGTGTTGTCATATAGACTCTGATGTAAGAAAAAAATTACTATTTGAATACACTGTATTTCATGATCCCTTCTGTATTTACAGTGCTTTCCCTTCCTTTAAATCCCTGAAGAAGTGAACTTGGCAAAACTTGTATGCCACAGTTTATTTTGCTTACATGTTCATATTTTGGAGAGAAGCCCAACTGGAGAAACCCTGCAGACATATCTGTTATGTCCTACAGAAGGTGTGTGGATTGTCTTAGAAAGAATTCAAAGATGGTTTATGAGAAGCCTAAGGTCAGCAAAACAAAAGTAAATTTTACTTGAGAGTTAGAGTTCAGGACCTGGACTTGAGTAATCAAGTGATTTTAAAAACTTGGGTTTACCTTGAAAACACAAGCTAGCATACTGGTGGAATTCCCAACCCTACGATGTCTGCATCAACTATTTGGTTTCCTGGTGTACCAGATCTACCCAGAGGGGGCAACATGTTCATGGAAAGTATGGCACTGTAACCATCTTCTATCTCTGAGAGAAAAGCTGTTGAGAATGCATCAAAAGACTGATCCATCCTCTACCAAAATATCCTCTTGAAGGCCTAGACCAGCAATGGGCAAACTACGGCCCGCGGGCCGTATACGGCCCGGCGGACCTTTTAATCCGGCCCGCGGAGCTAGGCTCCCGCTAGGCTCCCGCTAGGCTCCTCTCACAGTCCGCCCTGTTTCCTATGAGGATCTGTCCCCCCTCGACGTATCTGCGCATGTGCCGGAGATCGCCGATCAGCTGCTAATGCCTGAAACTGGCACATGCGCAGATACGTCGAGGGGGACAGATCCTCATAGGAGACAGATTTTCATGCTCCACCGAACGGCGCGGGAACAAGAGGAACTCGCGGAGCAAAGGTAAGTGAATTGACACAGGGGGGACTTGGGGACTTAATATGGGGGATGAATTAATATGGGGAATGAATTACTATAGGGGGGATGAATTACTATATGGGGGATGAATTACTATGGGGGATGAATTACTATATGGGGGATTAATTACTATGGGGGATGAATGAATTACTATATGGGGGATGAATTACTATATGGGGGATGAATTACTATGGGGGATGAATTACTATATGGTGGATTAATTACTATGTGGGGGATGAATTACTATGGGGGATGAATTACTAAGGGGGATGAATTACTATATGGGGGGGATGAATTACTATATATGGGGGGATGAATTACTATGGGGGATGGATTACTATGGGGGATGAATTGCTATATGGGGGATGAATTGCTATATGGGGGATGAATTACTATGGGGGATGAATTACTATATGGGGGATGAATTACTATGGGGGATTAATTACTATATGGGGATGAATTACTATGGGGGGGATGAATTGAACTATGGGGGATGAATTACTATGGGGGGGATGATTTACTATATGGGGGGATGCATTACTATGGGGGATGAATTACTATTATGGGGGATGAATTACTATATGGGGGATGAATTACTATGGGGGATGAATTACTATATGGGGGATTAATTACTATGTGGGGGATGAATTACTATGGGGGATGAATTACTATGGGGGATGAATTACTATATGGGGGATGAATTACTATATGGGGGGATGAATTACTA